AATGTTCTACAAAAGTTTGTTAGAAGTATTAATAAATGATTCATATAAGCAAAAGGACATTTCGGTTATTTTGCGATAAGACAGCAATTCAACAAATAAAAACGACCTCAGAAAAGATTTATACAACATGCCGATCACTAAACTATACATAGCAGCAAATAAATTTAACAGACGTTAAAATGCAGTCCTATTTGTTAAGTTGCCACATTCTTTATATATAAAGAACTATTTAGAAAATTTCTTTAGTTTTTTAGAAATCTTCATTGTATTTGGTTTATTCACAAGAGTTCACATGCCTCTTGTTTCAAATATTAATGTACTGGGAAATTTTTTGGCTCATCAAATTTAACTGGGAATATAATGTTTTTTTTTATTTTTGCTGTATACAAAAAAGATTTTGAATTGTACGGGGTTGATTTGGCCCACAAATTCCCCATAACAGCTAATATACAAAAAACTGACAGTCTTTATTCATTAGTATCATCCAGAGGTGATTTGGCCTGGATCTCTACACTCTTTATTGTTTTCTTTTTTTTTTATATACATCCTCGATAATATTGTATGATGATTGTTACCGCTTATTTGCACAGTACGTGTCTATCGTATACCAACACAATCTACCATTGAAGCAGATAATTTGTACTGTCATTGGAAAAAAATAACCTGGTACTTATTTACCACCAAGTGATACCGTTTGACCTGTTTATTTACAAAATAAATTGAAAGCTTAATAATAGTTTTGAGCTTCTAAGCATACTGTATTCAGGAATGAAAATAAAAAGAATAATCAGTTCAACTCGATATATGAAGTTAATATACGTTTGTAATAATATTTCATGTGAATAAGCTTCGAGAAATATGAGTGATTAATTGATTGGTATTTAACGCCACTTTCAACACTAAAGTGCCATTTAGTGGCGATATTTTTTTATTGGTGGAGGTAGCCGGAGTGCCCGGAGAGAACCACCGACCTTCGGTAGGAAAACTAACAATCCTAGTCAGTTAGGATTGGAGTTGGACGCACCTGCCACGTGCGTGATTCAAACCTTTAACCCTTAGTGTTCATCGAGATCCCCATTTGAATTGATCTTTCTTCTGAGGTACAAGTCGTAGATAAGATAATATATTCATACATCAATCGAAACATAGATTTTTGAACCAATTGATTAAAATAAGTGTAAAACATATATGAAAAATGCTGATATCCTGCATCAAAAGTTGTTCCGTTGCGAAGTCATGTATATGTTTTACTAAATATCAATAACACGAGATTATGATCAAAGAATATACCATCATGAAAGGTTGTTCAACATCAGTGCAAATATTTTCTTATAAGGACCATATATTAAAAAAAAACCTTTGCTGTTAAATTGTAACTTGTGACATGTGTGAAGTAGATAATGATGTAAATGATACATCTAATATTGTTCCTTGTTGCTGTTTCAGTAAACAGCCATCACGTTACTGCTGTCAGAATCCGTTAATAAAGCAAAACCGATGATAACGCACCATGCCATGGGTCGGTTAATGTATTTTGCTTAACATATAGGACATTAATATCAAATTCTTAAACAATTGGTACATGTCAATAGTTTAACTCTTAAGAATAAAATAAACATGATGTGTTTACATTTTATGAACAATAATGTCTGCAAGAAGGTAAATGGTAACAAAACTAAGCTTTCTCGTTATAACGACTCAGTTACTCGTTACAACGACTCAGTTATTCGTTATTACGACATAGCTAACTCGTTATAAAGATTTAGCTAACTCGTTATAGCGACTAAGTTTACTAAAGATTATCATAAATTGTTACAACAAGTTATTTAAGTCTTGATAATAGTTTAGTTTATTCGTAATAACGAATTATCTTAGTCCGTCTAGTTGTAATTACTAGTTGGCTTAGTCGTTATAACGAGTTACAAATCATTATAACGAGTTACTAATCATTATGAGTTGCGATAGCAAGTTAGCTTAGTTGTGATATACATACATTTGAAGACATTAACTTATGTTCTGGCATACACAGACCTATACAACTTTTTATCGAAACAGTTTTAAATGATTCTAGCTTCCTGCCACGTCCTGTCTGTGTTTTTGTCTGACGTTTTTCTTTGTATCGATCTGATGAGTTAAGCCTTTTTCAACTGATTTGAAAGGTTTGTTCTTGTGGTGTGCTGTTACACCACTGTCAAAGTTAAGGGGGAGGGTTGAGTGCTTACAAACATATTTGACTTCGCCACATTTTATGTGCCTGTCCCAAGTCAGGAGCCTGTAGTTCCGTGGTTGTCGTTGATTTATTATCTGCCACATATGTTTTTTTCGTAAATTGTTTTGTTATCAATTAGGCCGTTAGTTTTTCTCAATTGAATTGTTTCATAGTTTTCACATCGGGGTCTTTTATGACCGACTATATACAGCATGGGTTTTTCAGATTGTTGAAGGCCGCACAGTTGCCTATAATTGCTTACATTCACTTCATTTTAACTTTGATGGATAGTTGTGTTATTGGCAATCATACCACATCTCCTTATTCTATACTAATATGACTTCTGGAAATCAAATCATTAGTGTATATAAGTTTGATAAAAAAAATAACTTTCCATTATTCTGGGTCTTGTCCTTTTTCAAGTTATACTTTTTGTAAATTTATTGAAATAAGATGTTTAAAGTGCATCAACGTTCAACCTCATTTAATTTATTATAAGTATGGTATCGACAGCATTTAAAAGCTGAGCTGTTTTGAACATGCCTGAACTATTTGACACTTAATGTTCAATTATTGTTGAACCAATGGTTAAGTGATAAGATAATGTGATGTTTTTCTCAAATTCAACAATTTTGTTTTTGACTTAGATAGTAAATTGGTGTTTGCTTAAAAATGTTCAGGTTAAGATAACAAAATACGAAAGTTACGTTATTTTTTCAAATTTTCACTTGGCCCCAACTTTATCAAAAGGAGCAAAAAGCAATAATTTGATACAAAAGTTATAATACTCGGGTCCGGTAATTTCCAAATTTCCAGCCAGCATCGTGGTAGATTTTTGATAGGACGTGAATTATATAGATAAGTAAATACCACATTATACAGTATAATTGCCGATGACCTTATTACCCATCAATACGAATGATATATCCATAGTTGTGGTGCTATGAAAATCATTCATAACATAAAGTTCTCTAATTCTTTCCCGGTTTATCCCTTTCCTGACCTGTTGATTATTTTTATTTAATCAACGTGTTGTTCGTTTGATATCAGTTCTTATTGGTTAAAATTCGATTATGATGTCAAATTTTCTTGCTTTCCTCTAAAATTCCTATTGCGACGTCATGAAAAAAGGCGACCATGCCTAATGACGACGCATAGAAAGAACCCATCTTTTTTCAGATCATTCGAAAAGAAGGATTATGATTGTCTGTTTGATCGTCTGAAATCATTAAAGAAACAGATTCCACCACCAAATCTCGTACAATACGATATGTATTCACTCTCGACAGTTGAATTTAATATATTTAAAAATTAAACTGTCTCGAGTGAATAAATATCGTATCACACTCGATGCAGTAGTAGATTCTATATAAAAACTGCAGTGATCGTTATATTATTTAGTATGATTCTATAACGTTCCTGACACTATCTCAGAAAGCTGTGGCTGATCAATGTTTTAATGATACAAAAGTATAACAAATATACCGAACTCCAAGGTAAATTCGAAAAGGGAAAGTCCATATAAACTGACAAAATCAAACGTTATCAACCAACGGAACGAGTGAAAAACAAATATCATATTTTTGATTTGGTACAGGCATTTTCCAAAATGATATGGTGTCCTAAACCTGATTTATATCAAGCTAAACCTCTTACTTGTATGTTGTTTTTTCCCCCTTATATTGACAAAATCCAATTAGGAATCGCATTCTCAAGAACAAGCATTGTTTTTATCACATCAAATACATTTTACTACCTGTTCTTTTTTACAATACAAGCTCCCTCTAATCGATGGCCATCTTAAAGTTTCATATGTGGTAATGCAAAAAGTACTGATATATATATCTATATATAAATATAATGATATAACGTGACGTTACTAGAATAAAAAAAAACGTTTATATTATCATGTTGTACTATGAATGTCTATTACAGAATAACTAATCGAAACATTCATATATAGAAACATATTCATCATATTCATCATTTGAACTTTGGTGGATAGTTTTGTCATTCGCAACCATACCACATCTCCTTATTTTAAGAATTAATTGATAAATAAATTTCCATTTGTTTTCTTATCTCATTTATTTTTAGTGTTACACACTTAAAACAATGATGATTTATGTTTTAATGTGAACCCAGAAAATTTGAAAGCAAATCGTCTTGAATATGCATGATTTATGTCTAAATGGACACTAAACAACCAAAAATCAATCAATCAGTCATTCATGATTTTAAGAAAAATCATTTCATTAAATCGGAAATGTTAACAGCAATTTAGCACATTACAAATGGTTTTCACAAAAAGAAATTATGCACAGTTGTCATTATATTTGACTCCTATCAATATAGTTTCATACGAAAAACATGTTTGGATTCATTATATGAACAGGAACTGTTGTCCCGTCCGAAGCACTTGAGTTCAACCCCTGTTTTTTTCGGTGGATTTCCCAAACTAACACACACCCCTCCTCCCAGTTGAAATGTCCTCCTCCTGTTTATAGTTCTTTGGCATATATATTTTTAGATGATATAACATTAATTTATAGAACAAGGCTTTAATCCACAATCAATTTTTACTTACGTGATGAATATTATTACATTATTAAAATTGAATTGTTAATACGTTCAGGAAAAAATATGACAATGTTTGTCCGTTGTCGTGACACTGTCTGTATCACACTGACGCTGATATGATACAGGATTTTGTGATTGCCACAATACCAATTTAAAAATTGCCGCCATTTATAGATTTAGAAATTTTATTTATGTTTGAACAAATATTGCATGCTGGGACAATCACACCCTTTCCGATAAGCAAATTATTATTCCATGGTATGTATTTCTAAGGAACGAAAGGTTTTTGGCATAGTGAGATAGTACTGAATAAAGACATTATAACACAGACAATCTGTAACAGCTCATTTTATCATATTTGTACTATTGTCAGGTTTATCTATATGTTTTGTGTCCTACTTTCGTTTTTAAACTGGTAAAATACAATGATGTTTACAAGCAATAATCAAAGTACTGACGTGTTTACTTGGATGAATACAATAAAGGATGGCAGACAAATTAGGAATGAGATTTCCCTTTCGCCTTGGATCACTTTTCTTACGAACAGTCATAATTATATTCATGGCAATTTTTTTAAATCAACTTTGTAGGTTCTCATCTCACAATTCAACTCATTAAACAGTTAAAAAATTATCAAATATTTGCACTGCTATGTTGATCAGCACTGTTGGTGTGTACACGTTTATGTAAAATTATATTCAGTTGATGTACATACTTATAATATTATAGTGTATGATCATGCGAGAAAATGCCTCTTTGGTATAATTATTTACTATTGTATGTACTTATGATGGTCATTTGAGTCGTGGGGATATTTTGTAGCACCGGAAAAGAGACATGTTTTCATTAAATGCGTAGCAGATACAGTATACGTTGAACCGTTTAATGTATTATCACCACTTATTAGGTCGATGCCTTTCCGCAGTAGCTTGGTACTTTTGCGCTAAGTAAAAATACGGATTTTGTTTTACTTATGAAATTTGCAGTAATAAAACGTTGAAAATCATTTGGAATTAAGGAATGTATCTCTGTTATGTATAGTTTTGATCCCTTGTCTGGGTTTATTCTGGGTTAAAACCTTACTTCGGTTTTAGTTTGTAACCCGGATTTGTTTTCTCTCAATCGACTTATGACTTTTGAACAGCGGTAAACTAATATAGCCTTTATTTAACTATTTTGTTTATATATATTTATGTTATTTATTTCTTATGTCTTTTTTTTTTTTTTGCTTATCAGCTCTTCAACGTTGTAAAGCGTTTTATGTTTACATTGATAAATACGATGGCCACGAAAGTGACCATCACTGTAGTTACTTTCTTTGTCGAGACTTGCGTCAGGTGCAGTTAATTGGTACCGCGAAATTTCATTTAAACAACTTTAAACAAATATTTTTTTTCATTGCGGAAACTAACACTGGTACGGAAAAATGTTCAAGGACGTATTCCTAAATAATCTTTGTACACAATTAATGTACGTTCATATCTTACCTCACTAAGCAAAGCAAAGCTTACATACATCCAATCATCCATGACATCTGAATTCATTCACAGCTGCACTGCAAGTGACTAACTGTTCAAGATTCTTAAAAAATGAAAACTATCATTGTGCATTTCTTCTTGCTGACTGTTTTTTTCGCATAAATATTTGCAAATGATCTGCCATAAATCATTCTTCTGCTTTTGAATTATTATTGGTGCGATAGTTTAACATTTTTTACTGTCTAATCAGAATGAAAAATGGGGTACTTTTCTATATTATCTTATCTAACTACTCTAAAATCTGAATGATACTATGACTAAGTCATATATAAGAAACATTATTGTTTTATTTTCGATGCATATATAGGGTTTCACATCAAAATGAGAGCTTTAATTTTTTTACATTTTGACTGAATGTAGGTCTTATTCGTTACTGCTTTTTAGTTCAAATACGAATGTTAATAAAGACATTAGTGACCAATTCTTTATTTTGTTCTTTCTCATAAAAAAAAAAACTGCTATTTTTGTAATGATTTCAGATGTTGTAAACAATTATTTTTTTCTTGTGTGGATTAATTACTTTCACTAAGTTTTTCTTTGCCAAAGATAAATGTATAAGCCACAGAAGGTATGTATACGTAAAATTTAGGTCTCAAACAGTACACATAATTTGTATTTCCTCCGTATAGTCTATAATTAATGTATATAAATGTGTGGGACAAATAAAGAGATACTTTCAAAACTCATTGAAATTGTACAATGAAATAATCATCTACCAAACTAGTAAAGTACACAGAGCTCTGTAAAGTACATATACATGATATATGATAAAAATATTGACAATGATATAATAATAATGTTGTTCAAATATAAGAATATATCTTTTCTAATATCCCTTTTCCTTCAATATTAATATACTCTTTTTGTAATAATAATCCATTTTTTTAATTCTGACCTACAAACATTATGCAGATTGATATACTTTTGTGTATAGTAAACACTGTAAGTAAAAAGTTCATTTCATAATAATGTTAATCATCAGTTTTATAACCCCAGATTAAATTCTTTAAAGTAAATATATGTCTACCAATCTTAACTCTTTCAAATAACCTATATATTTCCCCCCAAAACTCATCTAAAAAGTGACAAGTTACAAAAAAATGTTAAAAGTCTAATGTAAGGTTACAAAAATTACAGGTAGAGTTAAGGCTTATTTCCATTGTTTTAATAAAGCTTTGTTTGGAAGAATAAAGTGTAATAGTTTCCAACTGCACATTTTCAGTTTATTATCTTTTAGATATTTATGAATACTTTTTTGCATATATTGATCTTCAATTTGTATATTTTCACATTTTAATGTTCTGTTCCACTTATGATACCCAATTGGAAATACCATTATAGCTAGACGATAGAGAAACATATTAAATCTCGAACCAAATTCCAAAAATGCTACTATAACCCGTTATTCTTTTTTATTCTCAACATCTATCAGATAGTTAACAATGCTATATTAAGGGATACTGTTTTTGATATAAAGTTCATATTTAGAGTTATGATAGTAAGATAATAGAGAAATAATGTATTAATGATAACTAATGTATTAATGATAAACAATATATATATATACTAACAGAATAATAAAAATATATATCTGAAGATACACTGGTCTTTAGGTACTATTATAAAAGGACCTCTACTGATAAAGCTGTACAAGTGACGAAATCTGTTAACAGCATGTGCAATATTGTTGTTGAACAAAAAAAAACAATTATTTTTGTTTTTTGGGGGAGGGGGAGTTTTGATATTATGTACTTTTGTGGTCATCTGGTTCTAACTTCCTTCATCTATACCTCGTTTGTAAATAAAATCTGTGTTTTTCTCATGTTCACACCGGGTATTCCAATCCGAAACCGCGGAGGGACCAGAATCCCGAGGAGCAATTAATGAAAAGTTTGTAAAATTTTTATCTGATTCTCACGGAGGGATTATGCTCCGTGGAAAACGGATCAAGATTTAACGTCCCCACCGTTACAAACTTTTCATGAATTGCTCCACGGAATGCGGATCCTTCCGTGGATTCCGGATGGGGATTCACGGTGTCAGATGTTGCTGTCCTTGCAATTCATATATATTTCTGTCTTTACAAAACCTTTGCTGTTTGTATTTGTTTTTTTGGCGAGTCATCGTGTTGTTCATGTTCAACTCCTGATTTAAAAAAAAAATCCAAATGGTATTGTCTTTCCCTTCAACTATTGCAACATCTATCTGTGCAGAACTTTATACTTCAAATTGATAATTTAAAAACCGCATACATTTAATTTAATTGGAGAATATTTTACATGACCAAAATGCCTTTCATCATATTTACGGCTTTTAGTATTACTAAAAGTAATCTGTTTGCCTGTTTATTCCATAACGTACCATGAATGAATCATCATAAGGGAAGATAACAAACTACAGTTTGCATACAACCTTTGGATCTGGGAGACGGAGACGCGAGATACAAAAACAGGTTTCCCGATTTAGGAGTAAATGTGAGAATATGACTTGATTTAGATTTATTGTATTGCTATTTGCAAATTAAGTTTTTTCATTTATTGCTGAAAATATTCAAATAGTGTGTATGAAGAAGCTAATGAACTAAGATTCTTAACATTTGATATATATTTAATAACTTTATTTGTAGGATTAGGCTGAATGGAATTGAAGTAAAAACGTCTAGAAAATAAAGATTGGAAGTTGCGAAGTTCACAAGATCATACTGGTATAAGACATATTTGAATGCAATATTGTAAAATGAGTCACACGCATTAAATACACTTACTGAATTAAGTCGGTATAAACAAAATCTAATTGAAAACATTGAGCTTGTACGTGTTTTATTGTGGAATGTATATTTTGTTTAATAATCTTAACGTATATTTTGTTCTGTTAAACCATGTTATTTGTATGTTGAATGGTTTCGTGATTCCGATAATTATGAGTGATAGCTGTTTAACGTCCAGGGTCAAATTAAATGCATATCCAGAAGGAGAAAATTTTAAGTAATATATGATCATGAATATTAAACCTGCTTTATACCAGACGGAAACGGTGAGTCGAATTTTCAAAATGCTAGTTCACAAGGTTATAGTCAGCAGGAATACATGTCAACCTACCCAGACACATTATTCTGACTCCGAGCTGACCAGTATTAGCTCTTACTCCTTCATACCACATGCTTAGCAGGGAAGCAGCGAATACCAATTTAAAAGTCTTTGGTTAGACCTCCAACCTCCCGAACTCGAGACGAACACGGTTGAATTGAAATTCTATATCTTGGACTTTTAATGTAATGATCTAAGGCTGTAAATATAATCTCAACATTGTTGATTGCAGAGCAACATTAGTCATGAAGATTATTTGAAATAGATATGCCTTACAGTGATGATTTATTTTTGTTGACCTGTAATTGAAAACAGTTGTTCAAGTATATTGAATTAAATTTAATTTATTTTAAGGACAATGGCAAGTAATTGGTCGGTTTGTGGTATCTGTGATTTTCGACATGTCACCAAACCATCGGTGGTTTGGTGTTCTGATTGCGATGAGGGTCTTTGTGATGACTGTAAAGAACACCACAACATTTCCAAATCATCACGTGATCATGACATCGTACCCATTGGTGAATATCAAAACTTGCCAACAGAAGTTCTCCAAGTTGCACAGTCTTGCAGAAAACATAACCAAAAGTACCAAATATTCTGTAAAAAACATGACTGTCCATGCTGTAAGAAATGTATTATCGAAGAACACAACGAATGTAAAGATTTTGTTGATATTGATGACGTCATCAAAAACGTAAAATCATCCAATGCTTTCCACGAAATCGAGATAACCCTTTTAGGTATGGCTGAGTATATTGAAAGAGTCAAGAAAGATCGTCAAGAAAATTTACTTTATATAAAAGAACAGAAAGAACAAATTGAAAACGAAATTCAACAGGCTAGGGAGGCAATTAACAGTCACCTAGACGCAATCCAGAAGAAGTTAATAGAAGATCTAAAGTTGACTATTGATAAAGAAAACAAAACTATCCAACAATTCCTGAAATCAGATGAGCAAAATGAGAAAGAAGTCAAAAAATTTCAATCCAGTCATTTGAAAATAAAGCAGCATGCTTCTGAACTGCAGACGTTTCTTACTATGAAACAAATGGAGCGTGACATTGCAACAAAGGAAAAGTTCATACAATCGATTAACAAAAGAGGAAGTCTGGGCTATTCTCGTTTCTTTTGTAAGATCGACACAACTTTGGAGAAATTTGCGAGCAATGTTAAAAGATTTGGAGAAGTTGTTATAGAGACGAAACCCAGTGATGTTCCCTATGTAAGGCAGAAGGATAAACAAGCCCAGTTGATGATTCCTGTACCAGCCAAGTCCATAGATGACTTAATATTAACGTTGGTTCAGACCGTTAATACGCATAGTAAAAAAGTTAGCGGTTGTACAATGCTTCCTGACAGTAGAATGGTGTTTACCTGTTACCATCCAGGTTATGTAACTGTAGTCAACTATGATGGATCAAAAGACTTTGAAATAAAATCAGGAAATGCTTTTGATGTTGTATATCTAGACGATGATATTATAGCTGTAACCTCTGGTGTATACTCACATAATATTAAAATAACAGATATGAAATTGAAAAAAGTCACGAAAAGAATGCATGTTGGCTCCAGTAATGATGGTCTGGCACTAAAGGATAAATACTTGATATATTGTGGCAGAGGGAAAGGGTTGAAGAAAATCAGTTTGAGTGATGATTCCGTTAGTACAATAATAACTTCAAAACTTAGTGAAAGGTCATACGTAACAACATTCAATGACAGTATAATATTTACAGACCCAGCCACAAACACCGTCACATGCGCTAGTATGCAGGAACACGTTAACTGGAAATTTAAGGATGAAATCATACTGAAGTATCCACTTGGTATATCTGTAGACAATGACGGTAATGTGTATGTGATAGGACGTGATTCATGCAATGTGGTAGTTATCTCCCCTGATGGACAACGGCATAGACAAATAGTATCTGCAATGGAAGGTCTCCATGAGCCGTCTGTATTACATTATGACCTGGTAACTAACAAGTTGTTGATTTCAAACTCGATGAATAAGGCATTTTTGTTTAGTGTGACATCATAAACTAAATACAATATTGAATTGTTGGTGTCATTGGGACCGCTTATTTCTTATGTTTGGAAAATAAGATTTAAAACACATTTTCTGGATATTTTGTAATTGTTATCATAATAATAAAAAAGTCAAGACTTTCTTAGTAGATAATCATGTGCTCAATATTCGAAAAACAGTCCTTTATTTTTTTTTTCATTATTGATCATGAAATATGCACATCTTTAATTTTTGTGTAACGTTGTATGCCCGGTACCCTTCATACACTTTGGATATATTTATCTTATGCATCTCAACGAGACGCAAATACATCAGTTTTAACCTGTTAAGTCCTGACACTTTTAATCCTAGATTGTGTATGAGAACACAATTTAGATGATTGCATATATATCAGACCTAGAAAGTCCCATGTTTTACGAGTGGTTGTAACTAAAACGTCTGTACCAAGGATATGCAGCTGACGGATACAAGGATTTTTTAAAACGGAAATGAGACAGTAATTTGACCAATGACAAAAAGACATCAGAAGAGCCACATAGAAAAATGTCAATCCAACTAGCCGGGCACTAAATTATTCCGAGTCTATATGGCAGCAAATACACTTAACAGATAGATACACAGGGAAATTTCACGTGAATCTCATGTGAAATTTACGTTAATTTCACCTCAAACGCGCTTATACGTGAAAATCACGTGAACTGATTTCACGTGAGTTAAATGTGACACTCATGTGACTTTCACGTCAAAATCAAATTTTTTTTTTCAAGTGAATTTTTTAAAATAAAGTTATTCGAACAACATCTAAATTTTCAAATTTAATTAAAATCATAAAAAATACCAATTTTTTTAAAAGTTCACGTGAAAAATTTCTGGTGAGATTTCACGTATAAACTCGTTTGATGTGAATTTCACGTAACATTTAATGTGAAATTCACGTGAGAAAATTTGCCTGTTTAGTTGAATTCTGCCGTCTATGTTTAGTTGTTACAAAAGTTTGTGTCCAGTTTTATTGATTTCTAGAAATCTTCATTGTATGGTTAAGTTTACATCAGTTTACATACTTCCAATTTCATTAAATAATGCACTGTGATATTTTTTGCTGAAAATGTAAGAAAGTATGTTGCTGTATACAAATAGTAAGTTTAGACATGTGGTTTTTGACCTAAAAATTCCCCCTAAAAGCGACTGTACAAAACGGACAGTCCTTATTCATTTGATGCATCATCAGGTGCTTGCAGCTGGAACTCAGTCCTTTTAATTATTTTTTCCAGTATAGACGTCATCAGTGATATTTTATTTTTTTAACAGGTTACTTTCTTCACTTTATTTGTCATTATCGTATACCAACTCAATCTACCAGTTAATGTGTGTCGCTATATCTGGAAAAACGATCCTGGTCCTAATTTGCACCTTTCCAACAAGATGATTTTCCTTCTTTATAAACAAATATTCAAGACCTTAATTATGGTTTCGAACTTCCACGACTACCTTATTTAGGGATGAAATAAAAAACAGTAGACAATTCAACTGAAAATTTGAAGTTACTATATGCTTTTAATTATATTTACATATAAAAAGGAATCCTTGGTTTTAGCTCCTTAAAAAGGGAATCAAAGCAGATGTGGGGTATACGTTATTTAGACAACAACACAACAACAAAAATAACCATAAATATCTAGAGATCATCACACAGTCTTCAACAATGAACGGGTGGCTATATGAATTCACTATATAGATACCCGATTACGACATTCAAAGGCGCTATAGAAAATATCCATTACACAACAAGAAAAACGACCGGGATATCGTCTGTTGCAATATTTGAATTATTTCAAAGGGCAGTGACTTCTAAAAACTATTGCCGAACAAATAGGGCTAAAGCACGAGTCAAAGAACTGGTTTAGCAGAAATTACCAGTCATTAAAGTTTGTCTGTTGTAGATAACTATTTTAACTCATTGATTTAATTTATCTCTGAAGGTACAAATCCAATTTTCACGAGTTGTTAAACCTATTACTCTTATGGTAAAACGTGTCTTTGTCCTGGTTAAAGCTTTTCAATTTCGCAAGCTTCACTTCAAATATAAGTCCGTTAACGGTATTGAAAATATTTTGACAGGAACCAAAACTGTGACCTTTGAAAGTCATCATTGACCTTACAAATAGCCGATTGAAATGTTGAAATTTCGTTACACATTTCAGTGTAAGCCGACCAAATTCGCGTATTTTTCGTATCTCTTATTTATATCGGATTCCATTCAGTGTGATATGAAAAATGTCTCTTCATGCGGGAAATAGATACCAGGCCACAACCATACAGAAAATAAAGGAAAAAAAAGACATTTTATAGCTAGGTCAATAGAAGTGTTTTAAAAAAGAAATGCGTATCAAATGAGCCAGCCATTCAAATATCAACAGTGCAAATGGGTACTTTTAATTAAAAATCACATTAGAAAATAAAACTTTATAAAATAGACAAAATTAATGTAAGTTTTACCTAAATCATAACAAGATACTTTTTTTAAAAGCGTGCAGGCGTTAATGCAGCCATCGTAGAGCAGTGGAATATAACGAGTCAACTATTCGGGGTAAATTGGCCAACAAAATGTAGTTAATTTTCGTATCACTTATTCATATCGAACTCCGTTCAGTGTGATACGAAAAGTTTGTCTTCATGCGGGAAATAGATAAATGGCTCAACCATAACAAGAGAATATAATATATACACCAATCGAATATAGATTTATGAAGAACGATATGATTAAAAAAAGTATGAAACATCCTCTATTTAGATTGTGCTGATATCTCTTATCAAATGATGTTCCGTTACAAAGTCATGTTCATGTTTTACTTAAAACCCAATACAAAATCACACTTTACTATCTTTATAATCAAAGAATACACAATGATGAAAGGTTGTTCAACATCTGTTCAAATATTTACTAATAAGGACACGGCACATATATTGACACAATCCATATTGCTGCACTAGTGTAATATGTGAAGTAGATAATGATGTAAATGATACATCTAAAGAATTGTTCCTTGTAGGTAAAAAGCTTTATCCAGTCAGAAACAATAAATCAAAAGCAAAACTCTTGTTTTAAATAATTGCACAGTTTCCTCATACAAAACACAAGAAGATGTGTATGACGTTGTGTTGTATTTAGAATTAGAATAAGTTATGATATACCAAGGAGACAATAAAACCCACTATAAAAGAAAGAAAGACAGGAACAGACAAAAAAAGAACTGCACAGGAAACTACGATTGGATTACACAACCCAGCCAATTAGTAGGTACAATAGGTAGGTTCTATAATAGAGATGACGGTCGGGAAAATTTGGACTGCAACTGGAAAATGAGGGTATATATTGGATAGGGGCAGAAATTCAGCCTTGCAACAGACCACTCACGGACCCCTCAAAGAGTTGCTGTACGGGTTTTTAACGTGCAGACAGCTTAAAGGTTAATATCTTTCGCCTAAGCCTATAAGACATAACTATCAAATTCTTAAACAATCGGTACAAGTTGATTTTCTCACACTTACACATCACATGAACAAAGATATCTAAACAAGAAAAAAAATTAAAAAACGATAAACGCTGGGAAAATGCATTAACAGGTTATTAAACCACAAAAGAGATAACAAAATAAACATGTACACCACACGCGATACAATGTAATTGGGAGCTGCCATTGAGAGCACTTGAATGTTTTCTTAAATGTCATGTATATGTTTTACATCAGTACATATAGTTCCTAATAAGGATACGGCACATCTATTGAAAACAAATTAGATGCAATATTGTAACTTGTGAAGTAGATAATGATTTAAATGATACATCCAAAGAATTGTTCCATGTAGATAAAAGGCAGAATCCAATCAGAAATAATAAATTAAAAGCAAATATCTTGGTTAGATATTTGCACATACAAACAATCAGCAGGTGTATATGGTGTTGTATTGTATTTAGTATGCGAATGAGCTATGATATACCAAGCGACAATAAAAACCACAACGAATTTAAAGAAAAAATTAATGACCGACAGAAAACAGAAAGAAAGAATTGCATAGGAAACTACGATTTAGTTAAATGAGCCCTGACAATTACAGGGAGTTAACTCTGATGCTTTCGAAGGGTCAGCAGTTCCTGTTCTATTACATTAGTCGTCATGATACTTCCATGACTATCCATTGTTGTGTCATAACCGATGATAAGACATCATGCATGTTCGATAAAGAGTCGGTAAACAGTTTTTTCTAACTCTAAAGAACATTACTATCAAACATTCGGTACAAGTTAATTACTTAAGATAAACCTTTACACATAACACAAAAGGGCTTAATACTACAATGTATGAATAGAAATTGTGCATTTATAAGCAGTTATTTAATCTTCCGTTGATATATATTTTTTTAAATTAAATATAACTGTACAGACAACAGTTTTGGAAATTAAAGACGAGGTCTAATTTCAGTAGTACTGTCAGGGAAAATTTCTTCTTCCTTGACATTACCATCAAATTCTTAAATAATAAACAATCGGTAAAAGTAAATTATCTAACCCTTATACATTACATAAAAGGTGTGTGTACATTTATGAACAAAACATGTATTAACAAAAATATAAATGAAAAAGATTGGCTCTACAGTAATGATGTTCCTCATATCTCGCGTTCCATTTCAACTGGTAAATTCATTTTTATGGCGTTATACACATTTGTGATGCCAGGATCATATGTGTTCACAAACGAAATGATGTTTTTTGCTGTGTTTTGTTTTGGTGTTCTAAGTTGAGCTATACTGAGTTCTTTAGCTTTTTTGACACTGGCCTAGATCAGGCTCAACGGGTACTTTTGAAGTCGTAGTTACGACTTCAGTTTGTTCAGCCTGATTTCTCGTAGGTCTTTGTCTGTGACTATCGCACAGATCCGTCTGGCCATACAGAAAGGGATATTTCATTTTGTGTGCGTTGGATGGCATGAATGGAAATTTAAGTACTGATGAGTATCTGTCTTTTTATAAAATATGTTGGTGATAATAACTTGATTACTGGAAATCATTATTGTGATATCTGAGAATGGTCATTCTTTTTCACTTGTTTCCACTGTAAATTGGATAAATGAATTTAAGGAATTCAGAATCTGTTGAAATAAAAGAAGTTCATTCATAGATTTTGTCTATGAAATGAAGCAGCCGTCTAGAAATCTTTTCCACTTCTCGATCACGTATTCCTTAAAATCCTGGTCAAAATATATATATATATTTGATGATATAATATTTAAGTTGGTAAGCATGATATCTTATTAGAATAAATGTGTATTTTGTATAACAAAAACAAAGCAAAACAAAGTACGATTTGTTCTTCCGTAAGGAATATTGTTACATCGTTAAAATGATATTACCTATATTTTCCGGAAAAATTATGACTCAATGTTTATCTTTTTTCTAAACTCAGACTTTCTCACACTAACCCTGATAATGTACAGGATTTTCTGATTTCCCACTGTACACATTTAAAAACTGCCGCAATTTAAGTTTATCAATATTATCTATAGTTGCGGAAAAATATTGCATGTAGGGACAATCACGCCCTTTCCGGTTAACAAATTATTATCATTCCATGGTATGTATTTTTAAGGTAAAATGTCAAAAATAAACTTTTTTGGCATGATGTGAAAGTAATAATTAATGACAATCTTAAACCGCAAATCTGTCAGAGCTTATTTTTTTTTATATATGTACAGTTGTCAGGTTTATTTATATTTCTTGTGTCCTACTTTCGTTTTTAAACTGGGCACGTAAGCATAAAACCTCTCAATTTAAGTGTTCCTTAAACTAAGATTTCACTAAGATTTCCATAAGTTGAGTAAAATTCTTAAATCGTATGCATAAAACTACTTAATAAGTCCTCACTTAACTGAGGAATACTTAAATCGGAACCTTTCTTTAAGTACCGTATGATATATGTTAGCTCTACTCATGAACTCATCCGTGCAAAAGTTTGTTTTGAGTGTTTACATTGATTGAACAATATACATACTTTTATTAAGAACTGGGGTTAAACTAATGTTGGTGTGTAAAAACAATTAGAACATATGTCGCCAACTAAAATGTCCAATCAAATGCCAAATTGGCACATGAGAGAAAAGGTTGTTTTGATGGACGAGCATGGGAAGAAAAAATATTTATAATCCAAAACTTCCAGGGATGAAAGGGTCCTGGATAGAAACAGATTGAGTTATTGATGTTTGCATAACGTCTGTGGCAATTATCAAAGTTCAGAACGAAAACAAATTATCAATGAATACAATAGGCAGATCCTGTAATAGAGGTTTTCGGGATGAAGATCAAGGAAATTTGGACTGCCACTGTAAAATGAAGGTATACTGGATATGGGTAGAGATTTTGCCTTGCAACAGGTCACCTACGGACCACTGAAAGAGTTATTGCAAGGATTTTTAACGTACAGTGCGCGTGGCAATCTCTACACGAGTCATTTGATTTGACGTTCCAATTCTGACCGGACGTGACTGTGTACCTATACAGCCAAACAGATGCCCACTTTCGCAAGGATTTTAAAATGTATTGCTGGTCGAAGACCAAAGTGACCGTTTTTCTATTCCCAGTCACCTTTGGAGATGGGAACAAATAACAATCATATAACAATACAATGAGTACAGACAATTTCATAAGGAGAAATTCCTAAGAGAACCAAAAGAGGTGGGACAACTTAAGCATGGGTGATAAAGACGGTGCAACAATGCAAAATATCAAAATATTTCGACATTATCCACTAGCATTTTTTTTTTCGAAAACAAAACTTCAATCACATGAGGACTCGAACAAATCATTCAGCTTAATAATGGTATATGTCAGTAAAATCTTAATTCAATAAAAAAAAAGTTCCAAATCAGCGTATTTATTAAACAGATTTGTCCCATCTCTAAGGCACCGACAATTCATCTTCCATTGGTGTTGCTGGATGGAGGGGCATGGTTTGTTTTCTTCTAGAGACAACCATGTTGTTTTAACATCAACAATACATGATCAAGATTTTTAAAAATTTGTTTTGATTTAAACTAAACTTTTTTATCATTCTCATTTTACCACAATAAAAAAAGGTGTCAATCAATATTTAATCAATTCATATCAAAACAAGAGCAGTTTTTAATGTTTACTAAAACACACATTATGTTACCCGATTCATATGTTTACTATAAGGTATTATTAACTTCTCGGCATAATTCCGAATATTTTATTTGAAGGTTGTCAATGCATATAGATGACTTAAAACTGCATGCATTCTTGCTAGATTTTAGAAAAATTTCAGCAATTATCCCAAAATTGTCAAGAAGACCATTGTTAACCGAAACCAAATTTCTATTGGAAAAAATAACATAAATTCTCTATCGAATACACCATAATTCATTTTGGTTTGGTTCTTTATTCCTTTTATGCAAAATTTGAAATATGCAATTTTGCATAAACAGCTAGCAATTTACCACTGCATATCTATAACAGAAATATAAAAAATAATTGAATACGGTTTAAATATCATGAGTATGTCAAAAGACTGCGATTTTCATCCAGGAAGTCTTAAAACATTTCTGATTCTGTCCCAGTTTTTGAAACAAATTAAGGAATAATTTGCCCTATGTCTTAAGAATAAAACTATATAATAAAAAATAAATCCGATGTCCACCTACCCTCCTTCCCCCCCCCCAAAAAAAACCCACTGCATTTTGCATGCCTAAAGATCCCATCGCTTCCATCATAATGTTTTGTACTAACAATCAATATCAGGCGATGTATTTTAACGACATAACGTTCGAGGATATTTATGTGAGCAAGCACGAACAGAGGAATAAAAAGAAAAATAATAGCAGGTAAAAACTGTGAGTACTTTTTGGAATTCACAATAGCGAGATTGAGACGTATAAGGATATAATGAAATTATATAACTACCCTCTGTCATTCTTGATATCGTTGATTATACGAAAAAATCAGAAAATCACAATGGTCGTAAATATTTAGCAATAAACAAACGAATTATTACTGATATAATTATTAATCAATTAAATGGTCGCTAAATTTACGCATGAAAACACCCAACTCATTGCGCCTAGATGTCAGTCTCTTTATTCAAATAAGCACAAACAATTAAAATTTCAAATATTTAGCAGTAAAGTGGCATAATCTTGAATCATTATAAAGGAACAGTGCACATCTAGATAACTTTCTCAATAGACAGGTGTCTTTACAATGTGTCATGTTCTAAATCATCCCGATTCTTACACCTTTGTTTTTAAATTAAACAGAAGCTGTCTAGCATATACAATCAGCACGTAATTCTCCAAATCGAAAAATAAAATCATTAAGATAAAGTAGCGGAAAATTATAGCTGTACAAACAAAACTCAATCCATACAAGTATGCAGTTTCAAAGAATGATCACAATTACTGAAAGTATTCAACTTGCTGATATAATTTTAAACCGTCCTTCACTCTTATATCGGTTGCTGCGCTTCATAGAAGAGGAAAAGTCATCAATAGGACTATCATTCCAGTCAGGACAAGTTGTCAAGACTTTTCCATCTTTTTAAAAAATATTAAACATTTCAAACTATGAATTCAGACATAGTTTTAAACGACGATACAGGCGATAGAAACCAATGTCATATTGCACTAAGTTTGAAACCATTTTTACATTTGGAATATTCTAAAGACAAATATATCTTTATAGGTTAACCAGATCATATCGGTATAAGAGGTATTTCGGCTGCAATATTGTATAATGAGTCACAGACATTCAATGTTTTCAATTTATTGATAAAAGTAAATATAAAACCTAATTGAAAACATTGAACTTATAATTCCTGTGTGTAATGTATATTTTTTTTTAATTAATTAAACATATATAGTTTGTTATGTTAAAACATGTTATTTGTATAGTAATGCGAATCTAGATTCAATATCTTGGACTGTTCATTTAGTTAGATACTGTGAATTCATTATTATTCGTTGGATACACATTTTCGTGGGTTTCGTTGGTACAGGTGAACCACTAATTTAAATGTTCAACGAAATACAAATTTCTATCAGGTTGTATGCAGACTTCTGCAAAACCAAGAAATCACATATCCACAAAAATGCAAGTTTTCTGCAATCCACGAAAATAGGTACCCACGAAAATAAATGAATCCACAGTAGTAACGTAAAAATAATCTCAGCACGGTTGAGTGCAGAGCAGTGTAAGTCTTGACGATTATTATAAATATCCTTATAGAGATATCGATAAAAAAAAAGTTGATAGTTAAGAGGTTCGGTCGACTGATGGTTAATTTTTGTTCACTGTTGTTCACAAAAATGTTGTAACAGATTATTTTATAAACTATATTGAATTTAATTAAATTTACTTTTAGGACTATGGCAAGTAATTGGTCAGTCTGTGGTATCTGTGATTTTCGACATGTCACTAAACCATCAGTAGTGTGGTGTTCCGAATGCGACGAAGGTCTTTGTGATGACTGTAACGAACACCACAGCATTTCAAAATCATCACGTGATCATGACATCGTACCCATTGATGATTACCAAAACTTACCAACCGCGGTTCTTCAAATTGCACAGTCTTGCAGAAAACATAACAAAAAGTACCATATATTTTGTAAAAAGCATGACTGTCCATGCTGCAAGAAATGTGTTGTCGAAGAACACAATGAATGTAAAGATATTGTTGATATAGATGACGCTATAAAAGATGTAAAATCATCAAACGCTTTTCACGAAATCGAGCTTATCCTTTCCGATATGAATAAGTTCATTCAAAGAGTCAAGAAAGATGGCGAAGAAAATTTACTTTCACTAGCGGACAAGAAAGAACAATTTGAAAAGAAAATACTACAGGCTAGGGAAGCAATTAACAGTCATATAGACACACTTCAGAAGAAGTTAATAGAAGAACTAAACTTAACCATTGATAAAGAAAATAAAAATATTCAACAATTCCTAAAATCAGTTGAGCAAAATGAGAAAGAAATCAAAGAATTTCAATCAAGCCTCTTAAAAATAAAGCAGCATTCTTCTGAACTGCAGACGTTTCTTGCTTTGAATCAAATGGAGAATGATGCAGCAACAAAAGAAGAATTCATGCAATCAATTAACGATAGCGGAAGTCTGAACCATACTCGTTTCTTTTGTAAGATCGATGCAACTTTGGAGAAATTGACAAACAATGTTAAAACTTTTGGAGAAATCGTAAAAGAGACAAAGCCAAGTGATATCCGCTTTGTAAGACAGAGGGATAAACAAGCCCAGTTGATGATCCCTGTACAAGCCAAGTCCATAGATGACTTAACATTAACGTTGATTCAGTCCGTTAATACCTATAGTTCAGAAGTTAGAGGTTGCACAATGCTATCTGACGGTAGAATGGTGTTCACTTGTTACATGAAACATGGAAGTTATCTTACAGTAGTCAGACCTGACGGAACGAAAAACTTTGAAATTAAATCAGGTTACGCTTATGATGTTGTAAATCTAGACGATAATACTATAGCTGTAACCTCTGGTATATACTCAAATAATATTTTTTTAATAGATGTACAATTAAAGAACGTCAAAAAAACAATGCATGTTAGCTCCAGTAATGATGGCATGGCACTAAAGGATAAGGACTTGATATATTGTGGAAGAGAGAAAGGGTTGAACAAACTCTGTTTCAGTGACAATTCTGTTTGTCCAATTATAATATCAAAATTAAGTAAAAAGTCGTACGTAACAAAATTCAATGAAAGCATAATCTATACAGATCCTGAAACGAACACAGTAGCATGCACTAGTGTGCGTGGACAAATAAACTGGAAATTCAAGGATGAAAGTATTCTAAAGTGTCCACTTGGTATATCTGTAGACAATGATGGTAATGTGTATGTTATAGGAGGTGATTCTTGCAATGTGGTAGTTATTTCCCCTGATAGACAACGGTATAGACAGATATTATCTGCAAATGAAGGTCTTACAAATCCCTCTGTTTTGCACTATGATCTATTAACTAACAAGTTGTTAGTAGCAAACTTCAATGGAAAGGCATTTTTGTATGATGTTTCATCATAGACTTAAAACAAAACTAAATTTTTGGTGTCTTTGGGATCTGTTTATTATTTTGGGGATACAAATTCAAAAAAAAATTGTTTGTTTTTTGTAATTTTTATCATAATCAACTACTAGTATTCAAGGCATCATGTGCTCATATTTTAAAAAACAGTTCTTTAGTTATACAAAACAATTACTCGTCATAACATTTTCGCATCTTTAATGTATGTGTAACGTTATATTGCTGACAGTCTTCATACACTTTTAGATGTATTTCTCTTACGTAGCATATCGAGATGCCTATATAGGTGTTAAAACCCTTTAAGGACTGACACTTTAAATTCAAGATTTATTGTTCATTGCACAATAATCAGACCTTGTGACACCAATGTTCTATAAATGTATGTTTGGGAGTACAATGTATTAATAACCGATTTATATGAGCAAAAGGAAATTTCGGTTATTTTGCAATTAGACAGCAATTCAACCTCAGGAGAGGTATATAAAATCTAATTTTCATACGAAAACATACAGTAAAAGTTGAAAACAAAATTCAACAGGCTAGTGAAGCAATTAACGATCATCTAGACTTCCTTCAGAAGAAGTTAATAAATGAACTAAACTTAACCATTGATAAGGAAAATGAAAATATTCAACTATTCCTAAAATCATTCGAGCAAAATGAAAAAGAAATCAAAGAATTTCAATCAAGCTATCTGAAAACAAAGCAGCACGCTTCTGAACTGCAGACGTTTCTTACTTTGAAACAAATGGAGCGTGACATTGCTACAAAGGAAAAGTTCATACAATCGATTAACAAAAGCGGTAGTCTCAGCCATTCTCGTTTCTTTTGTAAGATCGACAAAACTTTAGAGAAATTTGCGAGCAATGTTAAAACATTTGGAAAAGTTGTTAAAGAGACGAGACCAAGTGATATTCCATTTATAAGGCAGAATGATAAACAAGCCGTGCTGATGATTCCTGTACTTGCAAAGTCCTTATATAACTTGCAATTAACGTTGGTTCAGACCGTTAATACGTATAGTAAAGAAGTAAGCGGTTGTACAATGCTTCCTGACAGTAGAATGGTGTTTACCTGTTACCTACCATGTAACAGTAATGTAACAGTAGTCAAATCTAATGGATCCAAAGACTTCAAACTTATCTCGGACAGGTTTTTGATGTTATATATTTAAGCGAAAATATTTTAGCTGTTACCTCTTGTTATTTCGTACCAAATATAAAATTAATAGATATAAAATTTAAGAAATTCACGAAAACAATACATGATGGCGCGAGAAATGATGGTCTGGCACTAAAGGATAAAGACTTGATATATTTTGGCAGAGGGAAAGGGTTGAAGAAAATCAATTTGAGTGATGATTCCGTTAGTACAATCATAAATTCAAAACTAAGTGATAGTTCGTACGTAACAACATTCAATGACAGTATAAATATTTACAGACCCAGACACGAACATAGTGGCATGCGCTAGTATGCAAGGACAAGTGAAATGGCTATTCAAAGATGGACGCATATTGAAGTATCCACTTGGTTTGTCTGTGGACAACTTTGGTAATGTGTATGTGATAGGGACTGATTCTTGCAATGTTGTAGTTATCTCCCCTGATAGACAATGACATAGACAAGTCTTGTCTACAAAGGAAGGTCTAAAGAGACCCTCTGTATTGCATTATTACTTGGTGACTAACAAGTTGTTAGATGCAAACATGAAGAACGATAACGCACTGTTGTTTGATGTGACATCATAAACTAAAAACAATACTAAATGTGTCAGTGTCTTTGGAAGCTGCTTTGCACTTATTTAGAGTAAAAAAAAAATAAATCTGTATAATCATTATCGAGTTTTCAAAACCAACTTTATAGATAAGCGTGTGCTAATATATGGTCACACAACATATCTACATCTTGAACGTCCCAAATAAGTTTCCGTTCTCTAACTTTAGTTTGCCTCAACCAAATGTTATGAAACTTATACACAATGCTTATTACTACCAAACTCAGATCAATTTTGAATTTTGGTGGCTTCACTTTCCTTGTTGTCGAGTTATGTCCCTTAATAAATGGGAAAATTGCTAAATTTGCCGTTTCCGAATTCTAACTTTAGTTAGCCTCAATCAAATGTTATGAAACGTATACACAATGCTTATTAGCACCAAACACATATCAAGTTCGAATTTGGATGGCGTCTTTTCCGCCGTTCGTGAGTTGTATCCCTTTGTAAATTGAAAAATTGCAGAATTTGCAGTATATTTACTAGCGATGGCATCTCTGTCCCATGGACACATTCTTCATTTATCTTAAAATATTTAACATATGATTTAGCTTCTTTTACATTAAGGAATAAAAAAAGGTGTGGGATATACGTTATTGAGACAGCAACACAACAAATCAAATACCCAAAAGACATTGAGAAATCAATAACAGTCTTCAACAATGAACAGGTATCTATATAAATGCATTGAATGCATATTCGATTACGTCTCCTAATTGCTCTCGAAAAGAAAGTGTCAATGATACAGCCAGAAAAAATAATGCAATGTTTATTTTATTTTAAAGTGTAATACACTCTTAAACTATTGCCGAACAATGGTACTAAAAGGAATAAGATGCAACGAACTGATCTAGCAGATTTTACCAATCATTAAAAGTTGTCTGTTGCGGATATGAATTTTAGCTCAGTTAAATTGATTCATTGCTGAGGGTACATATTGTAGATAAGATAATATACCATCAATCGAATATAGATTCTGATCAAAGAAGGGATTCTAACATGTTTAAAACATCCCTTATATTAAAAATGCTGACATCTTTTATCAAAAGATGTTTGTTTACGAAGTCATGTACATGTATTACTAAAAACCAAATATCAATCACACTAGACTATGATCAAAGAATATACGATAATGAAAGGTTGTTCAACATCAGTGCAAATATTTTCTAATAAAGATGGATAAGGATACGGCCCATATATATATGTTTTCAATTTAGACTTGTTTATATATATACATATATATATATATATAAACTTTGCTGCTTAATTGTAACTGTGATTAGAAGTGGAGAATGATGTAAATGATACATCTAAAGAATCGGTCCTTTAACAAAAACACTTTTTCCAATAAGATAATTAATGATCAATAAAAAAACATCATGTTTGAAATATTTGCATAGTTTCCTCATACAAATAAATCGACATGTTTTTGTGACGTTGTATTGTATTTAAAATAGAATAAGTTATGATATACCAAGGAGACAAAAATAACCACTAAGAATTTCAAAGAAAAAAAACACGAACTAAGGAAAACAGACATTTGAATACAAAGAGTCAATAAAAACTGCACATGTTGCTTCGGCAGGGTCAACAGTTACTGTTCTACTATATTAGTCGTCATGATACTCCCGTATCTATCCGTTTGTATTTCATTACCAATGATAAGGCATCATACATCTACAATAACGGGTTGGTAAATGATTGATTGATTGTTGGTTGCTTACCCTCCAGAGGCAAATATTTCATGCATTTTTAGGACGAGAAAAAAATAACAATATATACAATAGGTAGGTGCTGGAAAAGAAGGCCGTCCGGGATGAAGATCGGGAAAATTAGGAGTGTAACTGGAAAATTAAGGCATAATGGATAGGGCAGAAAGTTAGCCTTGCACCAGGCCACTTACGGATTCCTCAGAGAGTTGTTGCAAGGGTTCATAACGTGCAGAGAGCTTATCGGTAAAAATATTTTGCCTAACCCTATACATGCTATAGGACATTACTATCAAATTCTTAAGCAATCTGTACAAAGTAATTTTCTAACCCTTACACATTACATGAAAGGTGTACATACATTTATGAACAAAAATATCTGAACAAAAAAGTACATAAAAAACCGATAAGCACTTGAAAAATGCAATAACATGTTATTAAACCACAGACGAGATAACAAAATAAAAATCTACCCCACATGCTATACAGTGTCATTGGAAGCTGCTATTGAGAGCACTTGAAGGTATTCTTAAAAGTCATGTACATGTTTTACTTATAATCAAATATAAATCACATTGTACTATCTTTATGATCAAAGAATATACAATGGTGAAATGTTGTTCAACATCAGTACATATATTTCCTAATAAGGATAAGGCACATATATTGTAACAACTTAGCTGCAATATTGTAACTTGTGAAGTAGATAATGATGTAAATAATACATCTAAAGAATTGTTCCTTGTAGATAAAAGGCAGAATCCAATCAGAAATAATAAATTAAATTTGCACATACAAACAATCAGCAGGTGTATATGGTCTTGTATTGTATTTAGAATGAGAATGAGTTGTAATATACCAATAGACAATAAAAACCACAATGAATTTTAATTAAAAAAAAATATGACTGACAGAAAACAGAAAAAAAAGAACTGCACGGGAAACTTCGATTGAGTTAAACGAGCCCTGCCAATAACAGGGAGTTAACTCCGGTGCTTCGGAAGGGTCAGCAGTTCCTGGTCCATAAGATCAGTCGTCATGATACTCCCGTAACTATCCATTGTTGTGTCATAACCGATGATAAGACATGATACATGATCGATAAAGGGTCGGTAAATGTTTTTTTTGTAACCATAAAACACATAACTATAAAATTCTGAAACAATCTGTACAAGTTAGTTACTTAAGGTAAACCTTTACACATAACATGAACGGTCTAAATTCTACAACACCGCCTTAGTGGTTCATTGTAGCGTTTTTGCCTCGTGTGCGGGAGGTCGTGGGTTCGAACCCCGGCCAGGTCAAACCAAAGACTTTCAAATTTGTATTTGCTGCTTCTCCACTTAGCACGTGGCATTAAGGAGTAAGATCTAAAACTGGTCAGAATCATGTGTCCGGGTAAGGTGACATGATGCCTTCCTGCGGACTGTTACCTTCTGAACTAGCACGTTAAAAACCTGGCTCAGCGTGTAGGTCTAGTACAAAGTAGGGTTAATATTCATATCAAATTACATGTTTTCGTCCTGATATGCATATGCAAACTTGAAGGCATTAAACGTTTTATTTAGTAAAATTGGACTAAATTGTTATTTAACAAGAAAAGGTTAATTACTATTATAACATACAAACAAAATTATACATATGTATAAAACGTATTTACACTTTTGGTATTTAGCTGAATTTTATCTCCGAATGACATTAGATCTGTCTCCGAATAACCTTCTGACGTCAAGCAACAATCACTTTTTAATTATGACGTCAATTTTTTTTAAATTGTGATGTCAAATTTTACGGGAACTTTAGTATTTTAAGTAATAGCGGAAAAATTTGCATACAAGTGTAAATATGTCTACATTTTTTGTATTAAGCTGAATTTTGTCTCCGAATGACCTCAGATTTTAATGCAATATTATCCGAATTTGGAGAGTTACAGTTGGAAAGCAGGTCACGGTTTGACCCCAAGTCTATCAGCAACAATAGAGTCACGTGACTGTGAAAATTCAGTAAAACTACGGATGAGACAAACCTCATTTTTACTCACTAAAATACCACTGTCATGATAAAAACTTATTGATAAAAAAAATCTTGAATTTACATAGTTTTAACTCGTCAAAACTTACACATCAACTCAAAGTCCTTCATTCTTCATTTTATCTTCAAACTTGCAAATTTTAACACAGCGAAATCGGCATAGCGTTTGCTCATAGATTACGATACATGTGGATTTACGTGGGAGGTATATTGTAATAGCCATTATTTTGTACATCTCTGAGTTTTCGCTAAGTATTGATATATCGAGAATTTTATTACGGTGTTGTTTACAAAGCGAAAGAAGCACGTCATATTAGAATTCAAATTAGATATAACTGTAACGACAACAATTTAGGTAGTAAAACAAATGTGGCTGCTACTACAAAAAAACTTGCTAAGGTAACTTTTTGTTGCTCAATTAAAACAAAAACAAAATATATGTTAATATGACTTTTCTAATTATGCTAATTGTGTTGAAATTTTCTCTTTTTTATTTGCCTTTGTATGTTTTGAGTAATTCAATAAAAGTACTTTTTTTCATCTTGACAAATACATATTTTACGGTAAGAATATTTTTACAATAAAGTTTTTACCTTTCAGTTGTATTTTTTGTATGTTAGTAACTTTTTTTTATGTATTTTGACACCAGAAATATTGAAAACCCAACCTGATATGTTTCCGCATACGTGAAAGTTTTGTAAGGTACAGATAAAAATTATGTTATTGTGTATGCAATAACACTTTTTAGTCACTAATTTAGTATTTAGTGTGTAAATTGCGTGATTTTAAATTAAAAACGTATTAATGACGGATAATCTACAGGTATCAAAATATGAAATTAAATGTTACTTTAAAAACGGTCCAACAGCAATATTTAAGATGTTATACTATTGTTTTTTGGGGTTTTTTTTTTTGGGGGGGGGGGGGGTTTATTTTGGTGTTTGCCTATATCGTCCCTTTCTGTTGAAAGGCCAGATTTATTTCTGACCATATCTGACTTACTCTTATTTCCAGTGGCATTTCCAATTCCCCGCCCTTCATTCCGGCCGACCTACCTTAGCAGAACCAACATTTAGTATCTATTGTTGATAGTTCTCGTCCTGAATATGCATGAAATATTTTCCACTTGACGTTAAGCAAGCAACAATATATCAACCAATCAATCAATCAATACATTGTTAAAAAAAAGTCTGTTCAATCTGTGTGTGACAAATAGATACAAAATCCACAATCTGATTACTTAGAACATGCAATAAAACCAAAAAAATATAGTCATATGAGAAAATTTAACAAGACTTTAAAAATAGATTATAAAGTATAAAACTAATTATTATTAAAGTCCGAATAACAATAATAAATATAATCGAAATGCTTTAAGTCCCGACCGGTTATATTATCTTCAGAAATTTTTTTTTAATAGACTCAGGATTTGGAGCCTAAAAAATGTATTTCTTTCTATTTACGCTATTTACGCTATGAATGCATTGATTTGTTTTCTGTTGAATCCGTAAATATTTAAAAAAAAAAAACAAATGAGCTGCGTCGGATAGAAATCAACCTTATTTAAATGAATATCAATACATCTGTTAACCTTTTTCGGGTTGAAAAAATCGCTATGGAAAGACTGTAACTGTTTGAAAATTCAGCTGTTATAAGACAATCTTCAAAACAGACAAAAAATCATCTTTTATTTTTTTATTTTATATTTGAATGCTCAAAATTCAACTAAAGTCTTATACATGTACATGCATACACGCACTTGCATAAGGTCGACTTCTATCCGACGCAGCTCAAATGAATAAATAAAATCTGCAAATCGCGCATAGAAAGTTCAACTGAGTTCCAAAATGTTTTTAAAACTTTAAATAAAATAAAATTGATTTTTTTTATGTTTTCAACAGCTTAGTTCAATAATTTGATATAATTATGTCACGAAAAAGAAATAATTAGCTGCTGAACATATTAAACACGACCATTTACACCATTATATTATCCTTTAATGCACAATGTAACAAATGTTTTATTTTATGACTTTAATGTTCAGGAAATGTTTCATGTCAAAACGTCCTTGGATAAAACTGAACAATATTTAAAAGAAAAAAACAGTAATTTAGACGAGATGGCACAAACAGGTCAATATGTGTCCATGTTATCAGCATGTCAGGGCCTTTTATAGCTTACTATACGGTATTGGTGTTTTGCTTATTGTTGAAGGCCGTAAGGCGACCTATAGCTGCTTACATCAGTGTTATTTGGTGTGTGATGGACAGTTGTTTCGTTGGCAGTCATACCTCATCACCTTACTTTTTAATCAAGTAAACGTTAGTTTTTGAATGCAACAAGTAAGGAGGAAATTTTGTTTATCTTTATATTATGGTTATTGTGTTACTTGTCTTCAACTTACAGTTTTTGATTTCTTCCTTGGTATCTCCTTGTATTTCCAATGGACGTTAAGCAACTAACAATCAAATAAATCATATTTTTTGGTATATTTTTGGCTAAACACATAAAATCAAGCACAGCTACATATTTTTAGCACAGATATTTTTTATGCTGACCGAGATTAATTTTAAGCTGTTTAAGTTTTAGGGAGACTAAATACATCCCTGAAATTCTGATATTATGACAAGTGATGGTTCAATTATCTACGAAGCTCATTAAAGAGGGTCCGGATGGGGTTTACAGAATAGAGAACAATGGGCCGAATCTAAAGAAAATGGAAAAAAATAAAGAGTAGAGAAAAATAGGTCAACAAAATATGAAGAACAGAGAAAAATTACCTAAAAAATTTAAAAATACAGAAATGAAGCACCCCCCAATCCAGACCCTCATTAAAGAAAATGCGTGAATATTGTAAACATTTTACGCATTATAGAACTTAGTTTCCCCTAACTGGTCTGCTACTTCATAATAACAATAAAAAAGATGAAAAAATACTATAGCGAATGAAATAAAAAAAAAAGAAAAAAAGAATCAAGGTCAGAGGAGTGTTTTAACCTCGTTTTATAAGTATAAGAAACCTATTTTTCTATTTCACGATATTCAAAAGATTCACATGTTTCAATGCAGTGTCTCTGCCCCATATCCAACTTACCCCCTTTTCCAGTTGCGGTCAAAATACCCACCTTGATTGTCGTG